GCTATATGTTTTTGTACGAAAGAGCAAATTCCTGCATTACCCACCGACGTTTTGTGTCAGAAAGCCCAATGGTAAGCGGCGTATTGTGCATGCTTACAATAAGCTCAATGCGGCCACTTTACCAGCGCAGACACCTATTCCTAAAAAGGATGCTCTCCAAAACGCTATGGTGGGTTGCACCATGTTCAGTGCACTCGACTTGGTCGATGGATATCATTAACTGCTCATGCGAGCGAGCAAAATTTCGCTCCCAGCGGTGTGTGCGCCGAGCGGCATGCTTTGGGAGTGGCTTGTTATGCTTTAAGGGCTATCTAACACCCCTGCAACGTTTATTCTTATCGTGACGCAGTTGTTAAGACTCACCGAGGATATGCACAAAGCTATTTTGACGACATATTTATCCGTAGCCGTTTAGAACAAGGACGATCAGATGTGGAAAATCACATTGATCATTTACGAGCAGTGCTCGGGTGCATGCGCCCCAACAAGTTGTATGCAAAGGCATCAAAATGCATCTTTAGTGCTGAAGAAATACCTTTTCTAGGGTGCTTCATTAAAAGCGCGTCCTGGGAACAGATCCCGCTTAGGTAAAATCCATTGTGGTTTGGCCGGTTCCGTATAACCTAAAAGACTTGCATAAATGGCTTGGTTTAGCCAATTTTTAACTCGATTATAGTGTGAACTATGCTGAAATGGCAAGGCCAACCTCCTTCAAAAGGAAAAGGTTCGGTGTTGGGACTCAATTAAGGCACAAGCTTTTCACGCTGTTCGGGAGAGTCTCCTCCATGCTCAAATTTTGGCTTTGCCTGACCCGGAGCGACCTTTCACTGTCGTCTGTGACGCATCTGATTTTGCCATTAGCAGTACATTGTTGCAAGCTGATGTCTATGGACATGAACGCGCCATTGCGTATGAGTCTGACCAGCTAAAAGCTGCTGAAAAGAACTAACCCGTTCATGACAAGGAGTTACTTGCAATGAAGTATACTCTTGTCAACTTCAGAGTACATCTACTTGGCTCCAAGCCGTTTGTAATCTACAAAGATCATGTGTCGTTGCGCACTGCGAACCAGTCGCCTCATCGCTCGCAACGTATGGCCCGTTGGCTTTCATTCTTTGTAGAATACAACTTCAAGGTGAAGTATAAACCAGAAAAACAAAATTCTTTGGTCGATGCGTTATCATGCAGGCCGGATTATGATCTTGCTCACATTACGACTCTGTCGTCTTCTATTCCTGATTTAATTTGTGCAGGTTATGCCAAGGATGATCAGTGTGTCGCGTTGTTACGCGCACTCGATTGTGATGATTTTCAAGACTCGGACATTAAATTGTTGGCACGCTCGCGTGCAGAGCTACATCGACATTCTTTCGATCACGGCCTCTTGTGCTATAGAACGGATGCGGCGGAAAATCCGCGCACCATCGTACCTCATGATGAGAAATTGAAGCATCGTATCCTCTTTCAGGCGCATGATACAGCTTTGAGCGGTCATCTCGGTCGAGAGAAGACCTATGGCTCGGCCAGCCAACACTATTGGTGGCCCAAATTATATAAATGGGTGAGCACATATGTGCGTACGTGTAAAACGTGTCAACGGGTCAAGCCTTCCGCTCATGCGGCTGTGCAATTGGCGAGTTTGCGTATACCCACTGGTTGTTTGGAATTCATCAGTGTGGACTTTGTGCTTGGTTTGCCAACAGATTTGGACGGCAACACTGGTATTGTAGTCTTTGTTGACCATTTGATTATTATGGCTCATTTAGCGGCTGTGCCGGCTTCGATTGATGGTGAACGTACAAGCACAGCTGTTAATCGATCGCATGCTTCGTCAACGCGGTTTGCCTTTGGCAATTGTTTAAGATTGCGATCCTCGCTTTACCGGGAAATTTTGGAAGTCCATCTTTTAGGTGCTTGGCACCAGATTGGGCATGTCCACCGCGGATCATCCGCAGACCGATGGTCAAAATGAACGCCTTAATCGTGTCATTAGTGGCATCGCGCGCAGCGTTTGCGCAGATACGCCTCGGCGTTGAAGCTCCATGCTCCGGGTGGTCGAATTTGCCATAAACCATTCGGTTCATGCCTCGACTGGCTACAACCCGTTCTATGTGAACGACCTCACCCACCCGCGCGTCCCATTGACGCTAACACTCCGTAGTATCGGGATTGGTGGTTGAGGGATTGCCGATCGGCTTGCTGATGTCATCCCTGCTACTGTTCAGAAACAGTTTAGTTCCTTTCAACCAGGTTAAATGTATTACGATATGCGCGAGATGCAATAGCTGATCGACAAGAAAAACAAAAGAAACAAGCAGAATCCAAAGGCAGAAATTGCATTGAAAGTTATGAGGTCGGAGACCAAGTCTTGCTAAACGCTAACAATCTTCTTACAAATGTAGTGTCAGATGTTTTTAAAACGAAGTTGCGTCCGCGCTTCACTGGACCTTTTACGGTCGTGGACTAGAAGGGCCTTGCGTATACGCTCAACTTGCCGCGTAAAATTGCGTACACATCTCGTCTTTTACGTTGGCCTGTTTAAGTCATACCGGGACCCGTCCCATGTTATCTTGAAGGCGCTTGCGCCGCGTACATTGGCGTTGCCACAGGATGTTGCATCCGAATTAAGAGGTCAAGTTGAGCCTCGACATGAGTCTGACGTGACTCCATCATCTGAAGACGGGCGCGATCGCCTTCTAACGTCGCCAAACGAGATCGGGATTCGCCCAGGGAGTTCTGAGTACGACCCAAAGTCTCACGGAGATCCTCCACTTTCTTCACCAACTCAGCATGGCTTACAGCCGATACTCCAACCGCCACCGGCGTTGCTTGCTAAGAAAGGGAACTTACAGTTCCATGTGAAGCGGGTACTTTAACGACGTCGTCGTCATGGTCACTACCCATTTCTGGTGAAGTGGCGTGGGTACCCTGAGTCTGAAAACTCATGGGAGTATGAAATTCCCCTGCGGTAAGACTGCCCATACGCCGTTGAAGATTTTGAGTGCCACGGCCGAGCTCGTTTGACGAGCGTCTCCGCCTCTTACTCGTCGCAGTGAGAGCGGGCGAGTTCGTTTCAAAAGATTGACGTAAACACACGGCTGCAGAGGCAGCCGAAGAATAGCGGGAGCTTGATACTCCCGCAGACGGCCTCTGGACTTTAACTTCGCGAGTTATAGCGAAGCTTTCGATCCAGACGAACGTCTGCCACACTGGCACTTTCGCGTAGCGCGTGCATGCTACTGAGGTGTCGAACGTTATGCACCCAGCGGATAAATATATTGTCATGCACAATTTCGTCCCAATCGTCGGACATTATGATGGGCATACACCTTATTTGTGGAACCGGAATTGCTTGGGCTTTCTTCTGCAGCCGTTGTCTGTATTGACTCAAAGTCATCACAGTAGGTTCCAAGTACCTCTCTCGAAGAGCCTTGCGGCATTCGATCTCAGTAGGTAGTTTCGTCTCGGGGCCGGTGATCCATGTTGCCAAAATGTGGCGTGAAGCTTGACGAATTAGTTCTTCTACGCCAGGTGGAATGAACGAATATTCACTGTGTCGTTGCAACCTTGTATGAACTTCTGACTTGCGCTATGCGCTAGCCGCTTGATCGAGCAAGCGTTGTTGCTCCTCATCAAGCGGGTTGGTGATAATGGATGTATCCATGGGGGACATTGCTCCCATCGCTGTTAGCGCAGTCGCGGCAATACGGTCGAAGAACGGATTAGGTGCCGGATGGGGAATGTCCCCACGCACAGGCGTGTTGGGTTTGGATTTCTCCTCCCCATCGTCTTTGGTATCACTACCACTGTCAAATTCCACGTCCTCGACACTAAGCAATTCGGCTAGAGCCTTATCTTCCAAGAGGTGCCCAGGTCGGAACAGGTGAGTGTGTTACTTTTGTAATAAATCTCAAAGGGAGAATGATACGAGTGACATTGTGGAAACGTCAGTCTGGTGGTGGAGGGTGTAACGGGGTCGCACTAGCCATTGGATAAATTGGTCAAAACCTCCCCTAAATGATATGGATGAATGTGTGTGACCTTAGATTTTATATCAGCAAGAGAAAATCGATTGATCGATATTCCCAGGTTTACGGTACTTACTGTGTACATACCTTGTACCGTCATCATTTGATGAATGAGTGATGTGCCAACCATCCATTTAGCTCGAATACTAGTATGTGTATTAGTTCTAGTTTAGTATAATATAGGGTACTTAAAGTAGGATTTTCCTTGATGCAAAATTAAATGAAGTTCAGTTCTCAGTTCAAGCAAAATTTTATAGACTCCCTCCCCCTTCGCACGTTGTGCTCTGGAGTTTTTTTAGAACTGCCGTATCTTAACGAGTATTTAGACTTCTACTCCCCTGCACAATGTTCTTGTGGTTCTCTAGAACTACACGGTAGTCGAGCTGTTAGCTCGTAGTGTAACGGGGCACCCTGAAGCTTGTACTGGTGACAGTACAAGCTACTTATTTCGATGACAGAATAAGGCGGTGCCTCGTAACTTCACGTACACTCGTACGTGCAGAGGAAGACGGTAAGAAGAAGCGAGTACTTGGTTAAAGTAAAAAGTAGAACTGTATTTATAATAGTTAATGTCCGCAATAAATCACTATTTATTCTCATCTAACTATGTCTAAATACAAACGTGTAAATCAACTATCTGCTCACCACTCATTGCGTGCGTCTGTCGTGGCGCGTCTTCGTTGGTTGATATAATGGCATATATCAACCAATTAGGAACTACTCGTAAGTGCTACAGAATATTTGTCCTTATGACAATATTCTGAGAATATAACTCTTGTAGATATATTCTATTAACAATTTCTTATAAATTGTTATGTAACGATTCACCCCGTTACATCACCCCCCTTAACCATCAGTCACTTTAGTGACTGATTGACTAAATGGATACTCGTCCCAAATCATTTGGGACAGGGTTTGCACTTGTTGGTCCGAGTCCACTTCCCAACATTTCATCGCATGGTTAACAAGCCCATGCGATGCGCGAGCAAGGCCGCCGAGAGCGCGTCTGCACGTCTCTGTGCGGACGCCGAAGCATAAACAACAGCAACTGATGTCTCATCGGTTGCTGAAGCGACCCAGCCTGTGTCACTTGGTGATGCAGGCGCTCGTCATGGAGACACTCAAGTCTTTACAGAGTATGAGCTCGGTGTCTCATACTCTCCCGATACGGAAGAGGGATCCGTATCGACGGCGATCGAATCCAAGCCGCCTGCCAAGCGTGGTATGGATGATGCTACGCGTCGCAGCATCTTTGGTTCATCTGATTCATCAGATGAACCAACGCCAAAGCGAAGGCGCTCGAGATCGCAAGACTCGGGCGCTCACAGTGGTGTCGGTTCTCCTATTGACACCACTTCGCATCGAGGTACCAGTACTTCTGTCGGCACGTCTCAAGAAGAGCGGGTCTGCAACGTGTTTGGTATCGCTCTCGAAAAGAAGGCATGGATGCCTCCAAAATCCGTCATGGATCACTTGTCGGTGACGACGAGTGATCGTTATCGAACACGATTGTTCGATTCATCGAGGATCCATCACCTTGACCCTAGTGCGAAGAACTATCGCGCTGAGAATGAATTCTTCATCGATGCTTTCTTTAGACATCGATGGTACAGTGGGAGTCACAAACGTGATGGTCTCTCACTGCTTCAAGCGTAGAACGCTTACATCCATAACCTCGAGGATGTAGGTCGTGACGCTTGGAACGACAAACTTATCAAAGCTCGTGATAAGTTTGAGAAGAGAACCCCGACAGGTGCACGCTAAAAGCTGCATCGTCTGTCTAAGGAGGGTGGGTTACCCTGCCTCTCTTGGGGAGACTCGTGCCCATGTTGTGTGAACAACTCTGCACGAGCACCTAAGGGGGCTTACCTCCCTAATAGCCCGTGGTGGCGCGTACGTATCTCTAGTGAGATGTACGAAGGGATTAACCTGAAATACCTTTACGACCGTACCGGGAAGACTTTCTCCAGCGGTCCTTCTGCGGCACAGGATGTGTCGCGTCGTACTGCTCGACCAGACTCATTACGTCAACCATCAGTTGAGAGCGGGGCTCCCAAGTATCCCAGGACGGGGGATAACCGCGCCACCGGACGAGGTAACTCGTTCGACGTCCGTTCACGTCGCGGTGGCTCAACAGCTGCTCAACCAGATAGCGCTGGCCACTGCGAGAGTCCTCTAATGGAGGTGGCGGAGGGGGGAAGACGCTCTCCACACAATCGTGGGGAAGCGTGTGTTCCCGAGAGCTTCTTTGATCGCGTAACGCAAGGGTTACGCGACGATCTCGAACATGAGCGGAACAGGCGTCTTCAACTGGCGGACGCTGTCTTGAAGCATCGAGCTAAGTTTTCTTTTGCTCAGCTTAAGAACGAGAGAGCTCTGACATCTCTTCGTGACGAGCTAAGGGTAGCTCGTGTGGATATAAACCGGTCTCGGGCTGAGATAACTGCTCTTCAGTCCCTTGTCGATGCCCATAATCGGGATCACAAGGCCCTCTGTGAGATGCTTGAACGCAAGGGCGTTCTTCATCGGAAGAAACAGCGTACTACTGGTACGGCTTAATCCGACCAACGTAAAACGTGGGATGCGTTCGCATCTTACGTGGAAGTTCGATCGTGTATGCGTTGCCTAGGCGATGCAATACACGAAATGGGCCGATGTACTTGGGTAGTAGTTTACTGCTACCCAAGTTAGTCTTTACATGCTTTGGTAGATTAACCGTAGACAGTAGGACTAAGTCACCTTTATTAAATAAAAGAGTGTTTGCCCTTCCAATTTTGTCAGCGTTTTGCTATTGATTATCCACCGCTTCGGCGATGGAGTCTTGCACAAAACGGACTACCGTTTCACGAGCCAGTATGAACTCATCTAATGACTCGTTAGCTTCAGTGCGCTGTGAGCGCACTGCAGCAACATCAACCTTTTCTTCAGTGAGGGCTTCCGCGCTCTCACTGGCATCATCTTCTTCGATATCGATGTTGTCGATATCGGCATCAAACGCAATGACCTCTATGTCAGAGCGTGATGAGCGTGAACCAAATCGATTTTTTCTCGCGCGAGTCCCTCCCCCCCTTAAACCAGAGTTACACTCTAGTAAGGTGGGTACACGCGGATGGCGCAAGCCATTCACGTAAAAAGGTGTATGTGTCGTGGACGCATGCACCGAGTTGTTACTGGCAAACTCTACCATTGGCAAAAACTCACTCGAACTCTTAAAGGATTGTACGTATCCTCGAAGTATCTCTTCTAGGACACGATTGGCTCGTTCCGTCTGACCATCTGACTCATGAACAGATGTCGACGTCTTCAAGCGCGTTCCGAGTGATTTGAACACGGAACGCCAGAAATCAGCAGTGAAGCGTGGATCTATGTCTGATACAAGCTCACGGGGCAACCCATGAAGTCGGAAGATGGTGTCGATAAAGAAACAAGCACAGCCACTTGCTGTGATTGACTCTGTTACAGCCACAAGGTGTACCATTTTGCTGAATCTGTCAACAAATACGAGGATACCCGTATTCCCGCGTGCGTCTTTGGGTAACCCGAAGACGAAATCCAATGAGATGGATTCCCAGCAATCAGCCGGAACTGGTAGAGGCTGTAAAGGTGCACGCAGTGAAGGACTTGACTTCACTCGTTGACAGACTTTGCATGCGCGAACATACTTTCGCACAAACTGATACTGGCGGGGCCAGTAAAAGTCTCGACTTACCGTGAGATATGTTTTCTCTCGGCCACGATGTCCTCCTATAGAAGCATCGTGATACTCGAACATGATCCGCAAACGCAGATCAGTATCATCTGGAATGACAACACGTGGTGTGTCACCAGAAACGGCTGTATAATACAATAAACCGTTACGAGTAGTGTATCGATCTGATGCAGATCGATACGCAGGCGACAATCGTTTCAACGATTCTCGGGATGGCTGTGAGAGATGTGTCAACAACTTCACAATCTCACCATCTTGGGCGTATGCCCGCCTCACATCATCATACAACGTTGTAGATGGGACTGAGGACGTCATAACCGCAACAGTGACTGTCTCACTGTTGGCTTTCGCGACTGTTTCAAAGTCGGGACGACGTGAGAGTGCATCAGCGACGACATTAAGTCGTCCTGGTTTGTACTCGACCGTAAAGTTGTATTCTGCAAAGAATGACAACCACCGCGCCATTCGTTGTGAAAGGTGCGGGCTGTTTACTGCCGTGCGAAACGACGTATGGTCAGTGTAAACAATGAAGGGTCTATCTCCTAATAGATAGACTCTGAACTTCGCGAGTGCATACTTCATGGCAAGGAGTTCCTTGTCATGCACTGGATAGTTCCGCTCAGATGGTTGCAGCTGACGCGACTGATAGCAGACGACGCGTTCAACGCCTTCAAGATCGTACTGCATTAATGCACAGCCGATTGCGAAATCGCTGGCATCACAGACCACATGAAATGGCCTGTCCTGATCGGCTATTGCTAGGACTGGGGATTGTATCAAGCTCTGCTTGATACCCTCAAAGGAGCGTTGACATTCAGCGTTCCATAACCACCTCTCGTTCTTTTTCAACAAACGAGAGAGGTGCACAGTCATCTCGGCGTAATTGCGTGAATACTTATGCAAATACGCCGCTAGCCCAAGGAATTTTCGAAGACCTTTGACATCAACCGGCACAGGCCAGTCGGTGATCGCATTGATCTTTTCGGGATCAGGACGTACACCGTTCTTACCAACGATGCACCCAAGAAGTGGCATTTCGCTTGCTGCAAATATACACTTCTTGAGGTTAGCATACAATTGATGCTTTCGCGTGATTGTAAGAACCTGTCGGACGTGGTATCTGTAAACCTCAACGTCCGACTTTCCATCCATAGCTCGACTATGGATGAATACGTCATCGAAATAACTCGGCGCAAATACTCGTACTGGTCTCAACAGATGTGATACACATCTGTTGAATGTGGCAGGGGCATTACTGAGCCCTTGTGGCATTACTAGCCATTCCCAGAGCATGCTGCTAGGTGTGCTCACTGCGGTATAGGGTATATCCCGTTCTCGCATAAGGATTTGATAGAAGCCATCCATCAAATCCATGGACGAAAAGATGGTACTCTTTGACATACCATCAATGATTAAGTCCTTCCTCGGTATCGGCGTCTGAGCCGGTACCGTTGCAGCGTTCAATTTGTTGAACGCGTGCACTATCCGCCACCCTCCTGTTGCTTTTCGCAAACAGAAGGTCGGAGAGCTATGTGGGGAAGTTGATTCCCTCACATGGCCCGCAGCTAAACGATCGGCAAAGAACTTGTCGATCGCAAGTGCTTGTTCACAAGGCAGTCGCCACTGCTTCATGACACAGTACTTCGAGCCTGGTTTGAGCTCGATCTCGTGTCGTGTACCTTTATCCTTCGGTAATTCGCACGGAACAGTTTCAGGGAATACATCCTTGAATTCAACCAAATCTTCGTAGAGAGGATTTGTCTTGAGCGATTCCCACGATTGGGAGTCATATCGCTCAACTCGTGTCTTTTCATCGAGGACGCTCTCGTCCATAGATGAACTACTGAGAACTCTCTCGTTCTCAGTAAACATTGTTGCTGACCTTATGTCGGCTACACACTCGTCGTCAGCGACGAGTAAGCAGATCTGCTTGACTTTGCCACTACGCAGATCACGCAAGAACCTTTTATGCTCGAGCGTTGGCAACTGAGTGATCTCCGAAGTCAACTTCGGAGTCACAATCAGATCAAGTGTATAAGCGCCTACACTTGATCCGTTATTGACTAGGACATTCAATGTCTCTGTCATTTCCTGGGGACTTATTCCCTCAGGCCTCGAAGGACTTATTCCTTCGGCTTCCCGGGGACTTATTACCTCGGGTTTCGGGGAACTTATTTCCGCCGTATCTGTAATATCGGGACTTATTCCCTTAACTTCCTCTAGCTGGGGTTGCTCAACCACAGCGAGATCCTCTACGAAAGACTTTCCAGTCGATCTAGGATTATCGTTTCGCTTAACCTGAGCGATCGATTGTTTCTCTTCTAGATGTTCCCCGCTAGGGATACATCTTTGTCCCGGTCCACTCGACTTATTCGAGTGGTGGACCTTCGCGCAGCCTGTGTTTCCTCACAGCCGCCGGAACTTTGCTCCGAAGTGTAACCGTTTATTACACTAAGGTTTTGTGCAGTCGTACTAACGACCGTACCACAAGTGAGGCCATCGCACTCACTCGTAGTACATCCACACGCTTGTGGACGCTCCAAAACGTTCATCAGATGGCCATCTGATGAACAAGCGGCAGGCATCGTTACTGTTCGATGTTGCCAGTTAACCGGTGATTCTTACCATCTGAGCCACGGTATTCCAAGGATGACATCAAATTTGTCATCCAAATCCAATACGATAAAGTCATCATCATATTGGGTATCTTCTAGCGTATAATGAATCTTCACTATGCGCTTCATGACGGTTACGGATGCGCCTGTCGCAAGACGTACCGTCACCCTCGTAGGAGGTGTGTCACATTCACTGAACTTAAAGTGACCATCTTCTAGCGATTGGCGCTGCACAAAATTGTTGGACGCCCCACAATCGACTAGAGCTCGAAGGGACAACTTATTTGTCACTTCGAGTTTCAAGGTAATGAGTGAGATCTCATTACCTAGAGCAGCAACGCACAACGTTTGTGTGTTGGGAGCAACCTTCATCAAGAGGCCTACAAATTCTCTTGACGTTGCTGGACCAGTAGGGTGCTTCGCACCTACTGATCCTGTCCGTTTTTTGACGGTCCATCCCGTTGTTGCGTCTTTGCACCAACAGCGGAACCGCGTCCCTGCCCCTTTCTCATGGGTGGACGATCACTACGCCCAGTGTTGCGAGAAACTGGACGAGGGGCACTACACTCGTAAGCGTAGTGTCCTGTCTTTTGACATCTGTTGCATTTCTGCAACTTCTTGTAGTCTGTAGAGCGAACCTTCTCGCTCTCTACATAACAGAGTTCCATCGGCTCTGGACATCCGCTTTCATATCGTCTCGATTGACGATATGATGTCGAGCTGGCGCGAGCCTGTCTCAGACTGAAGTCTTCCTGTTCCGCAATGGAAATGGCTTGTTCTAGTGAATCTAGTTCAAGTCGGAACGGGTGAGTCTTGACGGGACCATCCGCAAGACCCTGCATGAACACCGAAACCAACGTGTGTTCATCCACCGGATTGGAACTTATACAACTCGTGAGATGTCGTATATGTTGAGCGTAAGCGTGCACATCACGCTTACCCTGCTTGAGCTTCAAGAGTTCGGTTCGAGCTCTGAACTCAGCTCTAGGCGGTTCAAACGTTTGTCTGAGCCGCGACTTGAAGACTTCCAACGACCCAAACGCATATGGGTCGTGCAGCTTGAGCCCCAGTGCCCAAGTCTTGGCACGTCCTGCCAGATTTGACTGGGCAAATGCAACTTGCATATCCCCGTCGTCGATGCGACGCGCCCTTATGGCGTCATCCAATTCGACGAACCATCTCAAGAGGGAGTCTTCTTCGACCCCCTATACTTTGAGATGTCAATCTTCAAAGTCTCGGGCCGACGCGAGTGCATCGACCCGCCAGCAGCAGCCTGCTGCTGTCTCAACAGTTCAAACTGTTGAGCACCTTGTTCTCTCAACAACTCTGCTTGTTGAGAACCTTGTTGGTGAAGCAAGGCTACTTTCTCGCGTTCTGCGTCAAGTTCATTTTGAATGAACTTGGCGATAGTAGCATGTTGGGCATCTCTATTGAGAGCCTCTAGCATGACGCTAACCGCATGGATGCCCATGGTCGAACCCATTCGTTCAACCGCATCCCGTTCGGCATCGCTCAAATGGGAGTAGCCGTCACATGTAGCGTGAAATATTTGGTCATCTTCATCATCTAACATATTCATGTTAGATGTGAACGTGGTCCTTGGAAGGACTACAAAGTGCTACCAGGTGTAACGGGGCACCCTGAAGCTTGTACTGGTGACAGTACAAGCTACTTATTCTGATAACAGAATAAGGCGGTGCCTCGTAACTTCACGTACACTCGTACGTGCAGAGGAAGACGGTAAGAAGAAGCGAGTACTTGATTAAAGTAAAAAGTAGAACTGTATTTATAATAGTTAATGTCTGCAATAAATCACTATTTATCTTCATCTAACTATGTCTAAATACAAATGTGTAAATCAGTTATCTGCTCACCACTCATTGCGTGCGTCTGTCGTGGCGCGTCTTCGTTAGTTGATATAATGGCATATATCAACCAATTAGCAACTACTCGTAAGTGCTACAGAATATTTATCCTTATGACAATATTCTGAGAATGTAACTCTTATAGTTATATTCTATTAACAATTCCTTATAAATTGTTATGTAACGGTTCACCCCGTTACACCCTATGTTATACTAAAGCAGAACCAATACAAATATTAGTATTTAAACGAAATGAATGGTTGGCACATTACTTAGTCATCAAAAGACGACGGTACAAGAAGATCCACGGTAAGTACCGTAACTCAGAGAATACCGATTAGTCGATATTCTGTATTGATCTATTATCTGAGGCTACACTTGTCCTTCATAGTACATATGGGAGGTCTTAAACCGATTAAGCGAATGGCTATATTGACTTCAGTACATCCACCAATCTTTTTTGGTGTGGACACACAACATTAGTGGTTCAATAACCGCCGTGTGACCCTGTTACAAGAGTATTACAGATGGTGGCGCATCGTCATGTGATTGTTTAAGGTATGAAAAATTAAAGAAATACCTATCCGTGGCTAAATAGTGGATGCTCTCTTGTTCATTCGTGTGCGTTCTCTCAGCATTTATTAATTTCCCAATAAAAAGTTGAATGAATAGTCTAAAAAATATACAGCTATTTTCAGTCTTAAAAGTTGGTTTATTTAGTAATAACTATTGCTGTATTAAACAGCAACAGTATATTAATTGAGCAATGATGGTAGGTGTATTTAGTAACACAGGTAAGTATATTTAGTAACACAGGTAGGTGTATTTAGTTGCAAAAGTAGGTGTATTCAGAGTTACCCCTACTTGTGTCGGTCGGTAAGACGTCCCTTGCTATCGCTTGATCGTGACGACGCGCGTGCGCTCTTTTTTGTTGTAGGGGAGAGCTGGCAGGTGTTTAGCCAACCGATCACAACCCATTGGACCCTTTTTTTGCTTGTGCAAATGCTGGCAGTGTTCTTTGCTACTGCGATGAAGCTTCTTTCCAATGTGTATTAGTACCGTCGTATCGTGCTCGAATTTTGAGCACCGAGATTTGACCAGCTCTTCCAGCATTATCCTTGACGTGCCCACACAATTCCTTGCTGATTCATCATGCGATACGCCCAAATAAACGCATCATGTATCCACCAAATTTTTGATCATTGAGATGTAACTCGCGTCAACTACTCGTCTCCTGTTGCTTCAGATCGGGTGTAGCCTGTCAATGTAAAGTCTAGGGAGTACTGTGTCATCGCAAGCCTCGAACCATGCTTGTTCTGGTCCGTATAAATAGCAAATTAGAGCAGTTTGAAAAGACAACCAAATGCGAAGCAGTTTACTGTCCAGAAGGTCGATCGAACGCTAGGAGCAGTCTGCTCGCAAACGAGCAATTCACAATTTACTGATCCCTTAATGTTTTGCGCGTGCCGTCTCGTATACACAGATGGGATAGTGCGATGTCCTACCCGATTGCACGAGTTGTCGAGGACTCCCATCCTGTCGCAAGATCCAGGGACGCACGCGTGGTGTAAGTGAGAGCTGGCTATAACATACGTTCGCAAGCCAGTTGATTACGACCCACCGACCTACAGTTTTCTTGTTCTCTCCTCTAATGAGACGTTTGTATGGAAGCCTCCCAACTGACCCGGTGCCTCGACTGACCGGTAGCACACCTCATGTTTTAGCATCGCCATCTCTGCTGTCATTCCGCATTTTGCCAAACAGACCGCAAAGCGATCCCCACCAACCTTACCGACCCTCCAGCGAAGATGCACGTCCCTGGCTCCCTAGTCTTTTTCATGGCAGTCGTCGCCTCCGCTTCTGCCATGGAACCTTCCGGCACTGTGCCTGGAAATCAGCAAAGCTGCAGCGGGCCAGATCTTACATGTTACGACGATCCTTCTGCGTCGAGACTCTGCAAGTACGATTGGTGGACTGGCGAGGACTTCCACGGTTGCTGCCAGCGCACATGTTCGCCTTCAGGTAATTCGTATTACCAAATTTGCAGCCAAACGGTTGGCAAATGTGTCGTTGGGGACTTTCTTGCCTCCTTGTTTTGCCAGACGTATGGCAGAGGTTCCAGGCTGGAGGAATGCTGCCGGGGAGTGTGCTCTAGAGATCCTCCGGGAGATAGCTGCAGCTCGATCGGGTTTTACTCTTGCAACGGTAAGGACGGCGAATGCAAGGGGCAGCTCTCAGCTGAAGTATTTCGACATTGCTGCCAGAACACGTGCGAGCCCGTCAATTTTCCATTGACCTGCGATAACACCGGCGCCAAATGCTACGAAAAAGCTGACGGGGACAAGTGTAACGGGATCGAGTCGTTTCTGGAACGTCAAATGTGCTGCATCTCAGCGTGCAAGTCTCCCCGCTAGCTTTGGACATTCCAGTTCCGATGATGCCGACGCGAGAGCATGCCTTGACTAGCTATCGACGCTTGCGACTCCGTCCGCTACCCAGTCGTTGGGGAGGTATCGATCGATGATAACAAAGTTTAATACACAGGATTCAGCGTTGCTTGATAAACTTTCTAGTGTCCTATTGCGTTTCGCTGAGTGTGCATTATCTGTTTTGGTCGCCTTTAGCGTGACAGTAGCCATCGCCATCGAGTTTTCGCAGGACAAGAATGGAACCGATCACTACGTAAAACAAAATCACCAAACGCTGTTACATTGCTCAAAAGCCTTTTTCGTTTCAGATGGAATAGCGCGGGACTCGTCTCGAGCAGTGCGAGCGCCATGCCGTCGTCAGCCCTCAACAATGTCACAAATCATTTCGGACCTCCGTCCTTCAATGCTGGTCAAGTCGGATTGTAATGCAATATGAAGCCCACGACAACATGGCTGCATCTAGCAGCTGGTCGTTTCATTCAATATGGCACTGCTTCTTTATTGCCCACACCACTACATCATTCGTCACAGATTAAACCCTGCACGATCGTTCTTCCCGCGCAGCTCTATCTTCTCCTTATTCGCCGTGATGACGTCGTCCGTCGCGGTGCCTCGGCCCCACTCGCCCTCTAGTGCACACACCAAGTTCACGCACGACTTGAGATCGAGCTCGACCCCACAACTGCCAGTGCGTCTGCTACCACTTGCCCCCTGTAGTAGTCGGCGAGCGAGTTCCACCACGTTTTCCGCTTTACGTGCAACTCTTTCGAGAGCACATGGGTGTACTGCTGCACTTCGCTGCCAAAGTTTCTACCAGCTTCGATCTTGGCCAGTTGCAGGTAGATCCATAGCTGCAGCAGCTGAAGCGTGCTCAAGAGCCGCGCGCTCTCGTCGTTCACGACAGTCACAAACGCCTGCACGTTGCTGTTTGGTTCCACGGTGGGAGACGAGGCCAGCACGGCCTGAGCCAGACGTGCTGCATTGTTTTGTCCATTTAGTGCTCGGTGAGGTGTGCATACGGACCACAATGCACTGAAGACGGTCAAGGGCTACAACGGTTTGCCAAAGACCTGGTCAACGTGTATGACCATCTGCTGTGCAGGCGCAAGGGGCACAAGCAGGTCACGTTTGCGTGCGAGTACATGCGCCGCACGGCCAACCACTCGCAACCGCAACATCTTGTTCTCATCCGAGTTGTACGGAAGATCCGCTATCGCCCTTCTGAAAAGGCGGAGACCGATACATCAAGAACGTCGCTGTCTGAATTGATCACCGATTTGTGCTTAACTTCCGGCATCTGCCCATTGTAGAGGCATGACGAGTGTTTGCATGACTAGCGTACCAGTTGAGATGACTCGGGATTTTGTACATGGATGCATTCTTAGATTCTATTGGTGTCGTTTTGCATTTCCCAGAGTCCCAATCCAATGGGATGGGTCTAAGGCATGGATTATTTGCATTCAGTTGCATCATGAGTCGATGATCGATCACGCCTAAGGCCGGTTGACCTCAGAGCCACACTTTATTGGATCATCGCGACGGCACCGGGCGACTATCCAGGAAAGTTAAGACGATTAATGGTGATTCGATTGTGCTGCTCGATCGGAATCTTTGCCTTGGTGTTGCAGACGGGATACGCACTTGGAATTGTCAGCAGCTTAATTAGGCGATTCGACGGTCTATAATTTCGAAGCGATCTATTCGCGACGTAACTGTTCAAATTCAAATACAGCATCATAGCTGTCTTTTCCATCCAGGCGACCTGTTCGATTAAAGTTCAAAGGGTTTTGAAATCATTAGTGGTGGCGTGAATTGAAATGCAGCAACGCACCAAATAGTAATGCTGATCGACGATTGACCCAACGGTCGGACAGGATGCGCACAATTGTGCCGTCTCTGTTTAACAACAACAGTCTGGACGTCCATGCAACAGACGCATTCCTGGCGCAAGCGAGACCGAATTTGATTCATGGATTTTTGTCGAGCGTGTGTCGTTACAACCGAACTACGTGTCGTCGCCACACTAACGAAGGTGAAAAAGATTATATGCACCCCTCGTGCCATTGATCGTACATTTGCCGACTTCTGTACAGTGCTCGTATAGCCCGGAGATTTCATTTAAAGCGAATGAAGCACTCATAGTTCGTATGTTCCTCCGAACATCCAATCGAATAAAAGTTAATCGACGAGTTGTAGATTGTAATTCGTGTTCTGCTTTTATGTCTAACTCAACATGGTGTATGGGTGATTTTCAGTGTAGTGTTGAATTCGTACGACCCTACGTCCACATCTGAGTCCATAATTCTTGGAAACCATCCTCCACGAAGGAACAAGATGACAAATAGCACAGGTGCACGAGACCGCACATTCCCAAATTAAATTTAACGTTTATTAGCAAAGGATTACGAGTGACACAATCCAAGCTAAGGCTCGACGTAATAATCAAAGCTCTGCAGAATTCATGCCGGCTCCTTCATGTTCGTCATAAGTTCTTTTTAATCATATAGAAATTTATACAATCTATAAACAGACAGCGTTCAGCAGACTTAAATCTTTTTTATACCAAGATCAGTATTTGCCTGCCCCAATTAAATATTTTTATCTTGTCTCTTCTTAAGCTACGATTATTGCCGTACCGGAAAGCTGTCGGTTGCACTGTTCAAGAAAAAACATGTCGACGCATGATGAGCATATGTCAACTTTCATTGTCAGTACTCGATCCGTATCTAAATCTGCTTTGTGAATAAGCATGGAGCCAAATTTGTAATGAACTTGCCACTACCAGACCTCGGTTCAAATAAAGTCATGTTACCACCCTAATTGCTACTACGACATGCAATATGCAGCTTCGACATATGAGTACGTTCGAGCCGATAGTCAACTAAACTTACCTATCTCATAAGAGAAAAATTGTCGCAGTTGACAACTTACACGAGCAAGAGATCTCCTCTACATAGGAACAACATCGCTAACTCGCAGTCGTATCTCACATTAGGTTGATTCAAACATTCCGATCTAAGGAATCTCTTACTTTATTGCTCTCTTCTTACCAACTGTGCCGCACTATCGCTCTCCTTTGTGGCTCTTGGCTTCTAAGTATACTGAATAAACTCAATTTTAATCATTCAGTCACGGGCTAACATTATCGGAAAGCGTCTTATAGATACGTTTGCTGCTTGGAATTCTTAATTATGTAGCAAGCTCGCCAAGATGCTTGTTTGCCCCTCTTTTCGATGATCTTGCGAAATTATATAAATGATAATCAAAACTTGACTTGTGTTGGTACCTGCCATTCGTGTGTAGCCTTGTTATCGTCACACTTGCAATACTAATATTTGCACGCATGAAGAATTCGCGAGCAACCTTTTATTGCTGTACAGACGTGAATTCATAAATATTCAACTAGATAGGGTATCGTTAGTATGGTCGATGTTCATTCTAATTCGCACAATATTACGTAATAGAAGTGCCAGGTATGTGCTCGTACTCGTACGAGAAAATCGAGCTGGTGGGGGTAATAGTGCTGAGAAAAGCTCGCAATAATACTCAATAAATTTAATTCACAGTAAGTTGTCTCGAGATCAAGGTGAGCAAAACCGATCAAGGATTGTCATTTAAACGTTTAAATCTACTCATACGTCGAACCATAGAGAATTTTAAAATGGCCCAGATTATGATACGAATTCTCCGTAACGCAAAAGAAAGATTGAGCGTTCCCAGCGGTGTCGTATCCGATTGAAGTCATGTTAGGTGATCACCAGCTTTGGCGCCGGTACGATATTGAAAAGAAAGAGTCAACTTGTAAACAAGAAGTACAACTTTTGCCCTGGATACAGATCTTTTACAACGCGATTTTCAGTATCTTATAATTCACGAAGACCAACTACGTCGTATATGTGGCCGAGTTATCGTTATCGGTCCGTTTATCAAACTAGCGTTTTTGAGCAGACTATGCGGCGATACTGTATTCCGTTTTACTAAATACTGTGCTTCTCTGCCTTTCCACCATGTTCTGGTTAGTCCATGTTTGACTTCTAGCCCATTAGTATTCTACTTTTCTATCTCTCACTTGCCACAAATTACTTTCCGTGACAATGAGCTGTCAACACCAGCGATGGTGCGTGTAGACGAGAAACAGTGCACAAGCGGACTCTTTAGGAACGAAACATAACACTAGATTAGCAAAACCATCCAAATGTAATCAAGCTTAATTGAACGTGGTACCGTCCGTTTGTAAAACATTGACAAGCTGCGCGATGGTAATTACTTCCGTTGCGAGTATAGCATGCGTATGAAGCTTGCACGAAAGGGTTGATTACACATATCGTCTGTGCGGAGAATGATACCTTAAGTGATCGATTAACTATTAAGTGGAAGGAAGACGACCTGAAGTCACTTTTTGGAGTGATTGCTAGTGATGTGAGCTCGGCGTATCAAATCAACATCCGACACACTATTAGTGCTAAGGGCGCTAGGACCTCGCTCCAGAAACAATGCAATCAAAACATGCTGAAAACATGATTACTAATACAAAGAAAATGCACAATTTTAAGATGCAAGATGACACGAATTTTCTGAATCATGTCGCTTATTTCTCCGAACTGGTTACCAAGTTGGAGTCGGTTGGGGTATAAATGGATGAGACACGACTGATTGTACAATTTTTAGGAAGTCTGACCAGCGAATACCAAGTTATCGCTAGTGTCTTGGAAAACACTCCACACCTAGATCTGATGCAGGTCATCGAATCTCTTTTCAGTGTTGAGAAGGAGCCTGATGGAAGCAGGGATCATGAAGAAAAAGCGTTACTGATCAAATAGAAGTCGAAGGGGAAAAGACGCTTCAACGAAAAGTGTAATTATTGTAGAATAAAAGGTCACAGGGAAGCTATCTGCTATAAGAAGAAGCGAGAAATGCAGGATGGACATCGGGCACAGGCAATAAATCAAAACTTTGCATTTTCTTCAATTGCAGAAGTAGATGGTGCTTCTTGGCTTGTTGACTCAGGAGATAGTTCCCACATTTCAGGACAGCGCTCCTGGCTTGTTATCTACTTAAAATTGACCTACCCAATCAAGATCAGCGTTGCCAGCAGATCGACCATTGATGCAGTAGGAGTCTGTATTATGGAAATTTGCTTGGTCGAAGGTACATGCGTTTCTCATCCAAAAGTTCTGTTCATTTCAGATCTAGATCGCAACTTGCCATCAGTGGAAAAATTGACGTCAAACGATGTTCAAACTGGATTTTTAAGTTTGGGATGCGTTTTTAGTGTCAAAACGAAGTCTTGATGCAACACGGTCAAGAATATTTACCAGATCGACATTACACGTAATCCGTCTAAGCAAGCTAATGAAGGCGCCAATTTGGTATGGAAGACGGTCCGTACATGTTTGAGTCACACTCCGTTTGCCAGTTTAAAGGAAATAAAGAAATTCGCCAAAAACGTTCCTTTGGTCGACGACAAGATGCCTCGAGAAGAACTTTGTCAAGAGTGTTGCCTCGCCAAGATGCGCCAGGATAATTTTCCACGAATCCTAGCAAACAAAATCAACATTAGGGAGCTGACGCACTCTGATGTTATGGGCACAAAGTAAACATAGACTCCAGGTGCATGCAGATATGCATTTATATTTGCCAATGACTCCTCCCGCTGTGTGAAATTAGTTTCACCATAAGGAAAACCCGAAGGTTTCTTCAAGGTTTCGACAATATAGAACTGCTATTTTAAAAAAAAGACGGGAGTTTGTATAGAAGGTTTTCAACCGGATAGTGGCGGTAAATTTGTGAATCAGGCTTTCAACGCGTTCATTAATGATATAGGAATTTGTAAGAAACGAAATGTGCCATACACCCCTCAATAAAATGGGTTAGCGGATCGCATGAACTGCTCGCATGTCGAAATAGCACGCTGCATGAGGTATCACAAATTGCAGATCGAAAGTGGTGGGCTGAAGCTGTGAATACAGCCTGCTAGATCCTGGACCACATCCTAAATGCTGTACATCCAGGACACCTTTCAAGACAACGTTGAAATTGCTGTCAAATCTTTTAAATCTTTACGTTATCGGGTCGTTTAAAAAACGCTCATATCGCAAAAGAAAAGTGGCGCAAGTGGGATGCTTGGCATTTAAGGGCATACTTATGGATGTAAAGACATCGACTAATACTAGCAATG